GCGATACACACTTATATTATATCTATCAAACTTACATCTGTCGCTTTTAAGAAATTTTTAAATTTTTTTTTAAACTTTTCACTAAAGGTTCCTGGCTTAATTAATTCTCTAATATATTGTTCAGCTTCATCTAGAATAGCTTTATAGTGCTGATATGAAACCTGGATCGAAAGCCCCGCATCTTTTGTTGGTGGATTTTCTTGGATTCTTATTGTCGCTCTTTCAATTCTTAGCGATAAGTCTTTACAAACTTCTTTATGACGTTGAGCATCCTCTGCCATTTTTATAATTTTACTCGCCGCTTGACAAGCGACTGCTGCAATCGGCAGCATTTCACCAACGGTGACGGCAATTTTAATAGCGCCAAAGGCTGCTTCCTTGATTTGTGACTGACTATCGTTGAATGCATTACTAAGATCTCTAGGAACCGCCATGTTGAAAAATTTAATCGTAAAATAAAAATAATTTATTAGATGCGAAAATAATTATTATCTGAAGAGATTATACGCGAAACCTATCATTAACTTATTTATACATATCGATATCGAACGAATGTGTACATGTACATGTACACACTATAGACCAGTCTAGAATAGCTTTATTTACAAAGGAAATAGAACTCCTTGTCTGTGTAATTTAAAATCAAGTTTAACTTTAGTCATGAAACATTGTACATGTACATATATATACATACTATAGACCAGAATAGCATTAATACAAAGAAAAAAATAACTGTAAGAATATAATTTTGTTTGTGTAATTTAAAATCAAGTTTTAACCACAGTCACACATTATTTCCTGATATAGTACTAACGTTACGCACAGTATTACATTTACTTTTAGGTAACAAATATTGCAATAATCTACACATCGATAACCCCCAGAAAGGATTGCTTTTTTCCTTCTTGCGAGTTGTGACATTGAATTTTAATAAAATGTATGAAATGTCAAATCAAACTACGGGACTTCTAGAATCAGCACAAGAATTATTAGAAATTTCCGGAACTTTAATCATGTTAGGCGACAGAGCTGACTATCATCAAGTTGTGTGCAAGTCGCTAACCGACATTGTTAAGCAGTGGCAGAGAAAATTATTAGCGAGCGTTCTAAATCAGAAAAATGACGAAGCGATAGCGAACTACATAAGAGTATTGCGAGAGGTTACTGAATATGTAAAAGAAGTTAGAAAGCCTGGTAGTTTCAGTCATACAGCCCTGGCTAATCTGAGCAGGACAGTCAAATCTAATAATGCATGTATCACATCCGTCGTTATTTTTTATCAAAATGCTGAAGAGTCGAAAACTAATATTATTTTATTGTAATTTCTTTTTCACTAGTTCTTGCAATATCACAAAGATTTAGTCAAGAAAATAGAAAAAGCAATAATTCATTTCATTGGTTCAGATAAAGTAATGAACGAAACCTCGAATAATGTCAATTCACACAAAGACATCGATACCCTAATTTTAATGATGTTCCTTACAAAAGGCGTTAAAATCCAAGATATTAGTATTGAGGTCATCAATGTAAATCCTTCATATTTCGAGGATTTAGAAACTGTTCCAGTGACCGAAATATCAAAAAGATTTGACTGGGTCAAATATGCAATAGAAATATCAAAGTTTAATGATAATTCTAACGTATCGGTAGAGATAAAGCAGAAGGTTTTTGAAGAACTAAAAAAGAAAAAAGAATTGTTTACCGGTTTAGAATGTTATTTTGATGGTAAAAAGACTTTATTCACAAAAACTCCAATAAATATAGAAAGCAACATTTTCATCACATCAGTAAAATTAAGTCAGCTTAAAGTGCACGAATTTCATATTCGTATAATTAAACTTTATGATCCAAAGGATAAAGAGATTCAAAAAAGAATTTATGATGGAGAAATAGTTACTATTAGAAGATTAAACATTGCTGATCAGAATAACGTTGAAAAATATTCAAATATTATCAAATTGCTATCAAGGAATAACAACATTGAAAAATAGTAAGCCGTTATTATTATCATTAATTGATCTATTTTATGAGTAACGCGATTGAACCATTATTCTTCCTGATTCATTAATAAAAGTTACGGTACGCTTCAAATCAATAATGAATTGTGTGTAATCAATGAATGGATCGCAAACGATAATCTTCATAAATTTTTAAAAAACAAAAAAAATATTTTATGGATCACAAAGCTTAAATTAGCTGAAGGAATTGCATCTGGTCTAACATTTTGCCACGAAACAGAAATTTTATATAACGATTTATCGAGGTAATTTATATATATTATTTTATTCATAGCAGAAAATTAAATGCGTAGCGTAAATATTGTCTTTAATTTATAATATGCATAGCGAAAACATATTATTAGACTATGATTTCAACCCAAAGCTCAGTAATTTTGGATTATCGCGCATAACTAAGCCTGGACGGATATCACTTGCTGGAAAATTAAAAAACATTCGGTACGGTAATATAAAATAATTAATTATGTGTATTTTTTAAAAAGAAATCGTTTATTAATTTAATCATTATGTATTATAATAATAAATCATAAGATATACTGCACCAGAATTATTATCAGAATCTTATATCCCATATTCAAAAGCTACGGACGTATATAGGTAAGGAAAAAATTAAAAATCATTAAAACATGTTCATCATCAGTTTAATATTTTTTTTATTGATTTATTTTAGTTTTGGTATTTTAATGGCGGAAATCGCATCACAGCAAACACCACCTTTCGCTGATAGTTCTGATGATAAAGTAAAAGCTAAAATTTATCGAGAAAAACGTCCTACGGTTCCAAATGACTTAAATTCAGATTACAAACTTATAATGGAATCTTGTTGGTACCAAAATCCTCGTGTTCGACCTAGCATAGAAGTAGTTCATCGCGAACTTGAGGGTTTGCTGAAAACACAGAGTACAAAAACACCTGCAATAATAATGGACGAAGCGTATAAATCATATGATGAAACTTCATTATCAGTAATAAGTCAATCTGATGACGACGAAGATAACGAAAATGACGATGAGGAGGATGATGATGATTCATATCCTAGGGCTTTATATCTGTTCGACAATAGATATTATGCTGATGACGATGAACCATATAAAAGAATTCTGGATTGGAAAGAAGTAATGAGACTTTATAGTAAAAAACTATACGAAGAGGCCTATCCACACCTCGAAGAATATGCAAAAAGAGAGGGACCAGAGTCAAATCAAGCAAAATATCTAATTGGCTGGTATCTTCTTGATGGACAAGATGGTGTGTTCCAAGATGAACGTGATGCTATGAAATATTTACGTCAGGTTTCTGATGATCAACAAATTGGTCCTTACACGGCCGCAGCACAATATTTGTATGCGCGGGTGTGTTTGGAAGGATCAATATATGATAGGGAGAATGGACTTGCCTACTTACAAAAAGCTGTTCAAGCACGTGACAAGAATGCATTGTTTATGTACGCTGATATCTTACTGAATGGTGCACATGATTTACAAGTCGATATTAAAAGAGCTGAGGAATTATATAAAGAAGCTAAAAGCCGTGGTCACCCAGATGCAGAAGCTGCACTAGAGAAAGTGAAAGCGATAAATAAATAGTTAAACAAACATACTTAACTGTAGAAATATATTTTATTTTATCTATTAAATTAATTTCTTTTATTTTTTTACTTGATTTAATAAATATTTTACAGCTACATGAAACTCGATATAATATCTAAAAAATCTGTCACATGTATACAGTCGTCCCCCTCTATAGTCACCCCCTATATAATCACAACGTAGTTATAGTTACATTTTATTAATATTCTTTAAGTTCCTTTTACTAAATCATTATAGTAAAAAACTTCCTATATAGTCACAAATCTCTATAGTTACTAAAATCATGACATTTTATTATGATCCCGATCCCCGTGACTATAGAGGGGGATGACTGTATTATTATTATTATGAATTAATTAAGCTAATTCATTTTTTCTTTAAGTGTGCCTCTAAATATATTTATATATCACAATTATTATATTTATAATTATCATTATTACAATTATTTATAGATTTTTTATACTTTTGTTAATGATCTCTTTTATTATATTTTCTTTTATATAATATTTTATATAATTAGACTTTTTTTAAAGTTACATTTTATAATAATTCAATTTTGAGCCTTCTAGTTATTAAGTATATATAATTAAAAAATTTCTATTTCATATCTCTTTATATAATATTTAATTTTTCTTTCTCAATAACAGTTACTATTAAGATTTGACTTTTTTATCAAAATTTAATAAAGAATTTTGTAATAAACTTTTCAAATTATCTTTCTATTCTTTATTATTTGTAAGATTATTTTGTTAATAATTGTAAACAAGATGAATAATTTCAATTTATACACTTATGATTTTATTGTTGAATGATATTTAAATCTAAAATAAAATACAGAATAGAGAATATATATTTATTGTAAGATTATTTTGTTAATAGTTATAAATAAAATAAAATATGATATAAATAGTTTCAATTTTATAAACTTATAATTTTATTATTTGAAGAGTATTCAGATCTAAGATAAAAGTACAAAACAGAAAGAATATATTTATAGTGAAAAAAATGAATATAAAGTATAAATAAATTAATAATAATTTTATTTTTAAAATATATATGATTAAATAAATTAATTAACTTAATTTATAACTTCAAAAAGTAACTAATTATAATCTAATAATTATAAATATAATAAATAATAATATAAATAATAATGAATAAATTATAAAAGAATAATTAAAAAGAAATCCAATTAAATATCTAAATTAATAATAAAAGTATACATAATAATTATCTGCATAATAATATGTTAAATCTAATGTATTAAATATATAAATAATTATTTATATATTTATAGTGAAATTAATCTTTATAAAAAGTAATACAAAAGTTAATCTGTTATACAAATAATACAAAATAAAGATCTGAGCTAAAGAGAGATAATTCAATCAAAATTATTATATATCTCCCTACTTTAAAGTATAATATTTTTATTATATTTAAGTATATAATTTTTTAAAGATATTATTCTTCTTCATAATATTTTTCAAGTTCTCTAGAGATTTTTATATTACATTATAAAGAAAATAATTAAGCTATTTAACAAGATATTAGAGTTTATAATAATAAATTTTTTTGTTAAGAATATTTTTAACTTTATATTTTTCTTTATTATCTAAGATTATGATAATTACTGGTAGTTGTTATTTATTATACTTATTATTTAAATTATATTTCTTTAATAATAATATATAAAATATCAGATATAATTTTATATTTGATAATAGTTATAATTTATAAATAATAAAAGATATTTTAATAATAATTTCAAAGAATCCAATAAATTTTGATATGAATTTCTTGATTATTTTTTATTTATCTACAAAATTATCTATATTATAAATAGAAAGAAAAACTTTATCTTCAAGATTAAATTCTTTATATCTTTTATATTAATTTATATATTTTAACTATCTCTTTTATATTTTTAATAGCAAATTTTTAATTATTTTTATCATAATATTCTAATACTTTATAAAATTTTAAGTTATAATATTATTTTATAATTATAAAATATTAATTAGTATATGAAATATTTATTTATAATCTAGTTCAAAAAATATATAATTAGTTAAAATATTTTTACTATTATTATAGACAAATTCTATAGCAGCTAGATTTTTATTCTATTTATTTTATTGATAAATAATGTATATTTTAAGTATCTCTTCAAGAGTTCTATTAAGTCTTTTTATTTAACTATTTAATTATTTGATTATGAATAAAGAACTATAAATATAATTAGTTTTATTTTAAGTTATTCAAAAAGTGACTTTTAAAAATAACTTATAAATTTTGTATCTCTATCTGATATTATAATTATAAATAAGTTATATAATTTAAAGATATTTTTAAAGAATATTTTGGCTATATCAAATATAGTTATTATTATAATAGTAAATAAAAAATATATTCTTTTTGATAACTTATTTATAAATATAACTATTATATCATATTCAGATTTTATAGTTATAGTTTCTGATAAAAATAATAACATAAAAATTCAAATTACTTTATTTAATTATAATATTATAAATTATTTATTTATAATATATATTTATTATTAAATTATATAAATAGAAAAAAATAAATAAAAAAATAATGATTATTATTATTACTTTTTATTTATTTTATCTTGTAAAATATCTTTGAATTTTATTAAAACTAATTGTAATGTTATTAACTTTTTTTAATAACAAAATATTTATACTTTAAAAGAAATTTTAAATAAAACTGGAATTCTATTATATATATATTAATAATATATTAATATACTAAAAAAAATAAAAAAATTTCAGAAATTTACTAATTAGAGAATTCATAAAAATTATTACTGAAAAAATAACATCAACTTGAAATAAAATTATTATTAAAATAAAAATTATTCTAAAAGAAAAATATCAAGATTTCAAAATTAATTAAAGAACTATCTATTATAAGCTTTCTAACTTTAATTATATTACTACTCTTCTTCAAAAAGCTCTTCTTTTAACAAAATAAGTAAAAACTAATTACTTATTATAAATACAAGACTATATGTATTATAACTGAAATAAATTATTTTTTCTGATAAAATAACTATTTAGTTATTTTATAATATAATACTGATATAATCTCATAAAAAAAATCTATTCAGCCTATGATAAAATATCCTCTTAAAGTTTATATTTAAAGTATTATAAATTTCAAGAGAAAGATTAATATTTATATTTTTACTAAAAATTTCAATTATTATTTATATTATAAAATTTTAAATAAATAATTTTATAATAATACTAATATAATAATAGATAATTAATGAATCTTTCAACAAGACAATAACTTTAAATATACATCTAGAAATATTTAAATATTTACTTCTGAAATATATTCTTATTTAATCTTTATGTCTTAATCTTATCAAGAATATCTAAACTATTCTGAAGCATAATATTAAAAAATATATTAAAAAAATGATAACAGAAAAAAAAAGATTCTGAAAAAATAAATTTATTAATATTATTAAAGAAATAAGAGAAAATTAAAAAAAATACTATAATTAATAGTATTAGTAATATATAAAATTAGATTTAAATATATATTAATACTAAAAGAATATATATTAAATATTAATATTATAATAAAGATTATAACTATATTATTAACTTTAAAAAACTATTATTTTTTAAAAAATTTTATTTTAAACTTTGTTTTTATAAATAAAAAATTATATATTATTACTTTTATTAGAAATTATAAAAGTTATACTATGAAATCTATAATAATATATTTTTATTTATATTTTAAAATAATAAGAGACTGACATAATTCTGAAGATTATTAATTACTATTTTTATTATACTAGTATAATTTATAACTAATAATATATTTGTAAATATTTTTATTTATTTTTGATTAATAAAATTATTAAAATACTACTATATATATATTTTATCTATTCTAACATATCTTGCTATTAATATATTTTAAAATTCAAATAGAATTTTTATTTTTAATATCTTATTATTAGATATAACTAAGTAACTTATATTTCTCAAAAAAAGTAATTCTTCTTTTAATTTAAAATATTTTATTTTGGCTTATTATTTTGAATTTATATTATTAAAATTTTTCAAGACTTTATATATCTTTGCAAAATATTTATCTTCTTGATACTTTTTAATTAATTTTTCTTTATCTATAAAATTAGTAATAACTACTATAATATTTGCTAAGTGTAATTGATAAAAGAATATATTTATAATAATATTATCTTTATCAGATTTATATTTTACTTCAAAATTACTAGCTTGTAATATTTCTAATTAGCAAATTTATCTCTTAAAAAATTATATTATATTTTAATCATCAGAAAATTTTTGAGAGTATAATTTTATACAGATCTATAGATCCAAAATCTATGTAAAACTTCAAATCTGATAATAATTAATAAAGAAAAAAAATTAAAAAATCTGTACAGATCTGTAATAAAATA